GGCAAAATTTTCTAAGCATGTTTATTGAAAGATCGGATAAGGGTATACACTTAAATATTAATCAAGTAAAAAAAACAAATTCAACCCAATTTTAAAAAGAAACCCACGACCACCAACCCAGCCACGACCAACAACCCGGCTACGACCACCAAACCACCGACCACGACCACTAACCTACGGACCACCAACCCAGCCACGACCACCAAACCACCGACCATGACCACCGACCCAGCCATGACCACACCCAACCACGACCACCGACCCAGCCACGACCACCGACCCATCACACCGACACAACCAACCCAGCAACCCCGACACACCGACACTGAAACCACCAACCCAGCACACCGAACCACCAACCCCAACCCACCAATTTGAAACCCATGAGGCCACCGTTCTTAAACCACGAGGCCGTAATCTTAAACCATGAGGAAGGAGAGGAGAGAGAAAACTCATTCTCTTCATTATTATCGACGAACCCCGCCGCTCTGAACACCACCAAGCCACCATGAAAATGGGGTTGGAGGAGGAGAGAGAAAATTAAAGGGGATGAGAGTTTAATCAATTAAGCTTGGGGTTTAATCTAATGAAATCAGATTTATAATTTAATATGGTTGTTTAAAAAAAAAAGTAAGGGTACATTGGTCAATTACCACTCAAAAATTTATCAAAAAGGAAAGAAATTGGAAAGTTGCGAGTAATGTGGACCAGCCCAAAAAAGAAATAGTTGCAAGTAATTTGGACCGGGGGTAGTAATATGAATTAATGATAATTTCATTTTATTTTAGTTTAGTTTAATTAATGTTGTTAAGTTCATATCAGTTATGTTCTGCTCATCTTCATTGGCCTTTCTTTGACAAAGCTATATACTCGCTCTGTCTCTTTATTAGAAGTTTATCTCTAATATTTATTAGTTACATAAAAAAGAGAAATATACTAGTATCTAATGGTTGACAAGATATTAAGGTAGTACAGAGTAGTAGGGCCGTCTTAAACATTTAGGGGGCCCTGTGCTATTTACAAAACTTAGTACTGTAAATTTCGTTAGCTAATTTTTTTTTTTTTTACACAATAGCTAAACACCGTAATATATGCACAGGTAGCGGGATTCGATCCTTGCCCGTCAAGGATCTTATAAAGAGATCTTATGCCAATTATGCCATGTTCAATTACATGGTTTTGTTAGCGTTGGTTTCTTATTGATGTATTTTTGTCAGACATTTGGGGCCCCAAAAATTGTGAGGTCCTGTGCTGTTGGGCTGTTTGCACATCCTAATAGCCGGCCCAGAATCACATGACTACATTAGAACAAACCCCGACACTAAAATAATGTAAGGTGGCAAAACTGATTTCCCGTTTTATTTTTCAAGATATTGTATGTTTAACAAAATTAATAATTTCTTGTCAAAATAATAATAATAATAATTTATGGATTCATATTATGATATAATTTGAATTTAAGAGTGTTTACTTTTTGATTTTTAATTTAAGATAGGTACCAGCACAATTTTTTAAACCTAGGCATTAGGCAGTTAAGCATATAAAAAAAATAAACGGGACATTATCACTACTTGATCATATAAAAATATAATATCATATAATAACTAATATATAAAGCTAAACTTTTAGCTAGATTACGACGTAGCGACACTTGGCTTTCCAACTTTTCGCCAAGTGTCGCGCCACGTTGGAGCGATTTAAATAGATTTCATAAGATAAAAATAAAATTCATAAGATAAAAAAAATAGAATTTTAGGATAAAATTTTAAGTTTAGAATTTTATTTTCGATAAAAGATCAATATTTCAGATAGTCAAATTGAATTATAATTTTATTTAAAAAATTATTTGATTATAATTCTTAAAAATTATCATATAAATTTAATTTTTTATGTCATAATATTTTGTTTGGAGCGAAGGAATAAGTTTAAAGTGTAAAACATCTATTTATAATATATACTAATCGGATAAAATAATATACTTCACAACTAATAGAATTTTATTACTACATAGACCTGTCAGTTAGGGTTGAGTCATGATTCATCTCGGATTGGGTCACTTTACGTTACGAGTTAAGAAATGTTCAACTCTTGCCCAACGTTTTGGGTTCGGGTCAACCCAACGGGCTTTGAACATTTATCTTATTTAATTTATTCTTTGTTTATTTTTTAATGTATTAAATCGAACATTTCCACCAATATTACTATTAGCCATTACATGCCTACTAGATAGCAAATCGTCACAAAAGCACATCAATAAACTAATTTTGTATCAATAGTATATTTTAAAATTTGACATATAGATTAAAAATTTTATCTTTAAATTCAATAAACAACTCGGGCATCGCACGGGCACAAAACTAGTATATATTTAAAGGGGAGTTTTTTCCCGAGTTTTTAGAGCGCCATGTAGGATTTAATTTTCTTAGCGCGCCAGGTAAGATTATAAATTTAAGTGGTAGCCAATTAAATAATAAGAGATTATTAATTTCTTTTACAATTGAATAATTCAAATGCCACGTAAGTAAAATTGACGAATGAGATTTTAAAGTTTAAATTAATTAAATACAAAATATTATCTTTTGAGAATAGGAATTTTATCTAATATTTTAAAACTAATATAATAACAATTTTAATCACATAAATATGAAAAATATTTTTTTAAAAAAAAATACTAACAAACCGTGCATCGCACGGGCTTCATCTAGTATTATTATAATGTTTAAGTGAACTCATATTTAAGTTTAAAAAACAGAAGGAAAAAATATTTAAAAAATTAGAAAACAATCTACTAAATCTATTTTAATAAAGTAAAAAGAAATATCTATAAATATCTATATATCTATCTATCTATTTTTTATTTATTTATTTTTATTTTATTTTTTAGGGAAAGCTGGGAAGTGATTTCATTCATTGTTGGACAAATTGTCCATTAATAAGTAAGGAGAAATATCGTTAGGACAACAATTCGCCCAAATTTGCTCAACACCATAGGGGATAATACGAGCTAAATGGTGAGCCACAAAATTCCCTTCCCGCTTAACATGAGACAAAGAGATAAAATCAAAGAAAGCACAAATATCTAAGACATAATCAAGTAGGGAGTCCAAATTCGAGAGATATGTGGATGCCTTGGAGAGCCTGGATATAATGCTGCTATTATCAGACTCGAGAATGATGTTCTTGAGATCATGTTGCTTGGCCAAACGAACTGCATAAATTGCTGCCTTACGCTGAGCAAGCTCAGGAGACCAGTATGCCTTGTATCTCTTCACAGCAGCGAACAAGACCTCTCCATTGTGGTTGCGAGCCACAACACCAAGACCCACCCACCCTTCGACATTTAGAGCAGCATCACAGTTTACTTTGATGCTCCCATGGGAAGGAGGCTTCCATGTCTTCGGACTTGTTGGGGTTTTGGGGGTTATGCAGCCATAAATTCTTTTCGCATACTTGTCATAATCCTCGACCAAATTAGTCATGCGAATAAGCAATGAGTTGTGAGATGTGTCTTTGTTACTGAAGACCTTATTGTTACGTCTCTCCCAGATGTGTCTTTGTTATGCGAATAAGCAGGGCTGCACCCCGCTGCTGGGTCTTCAAATTCTCCTTGCTTCAGGCTTCAATCAGGTCCTTGAAGTCTGGAAAATCATCCACCCTCACAAGCTTCTCGCAGTTGGCAGCATTCCATAGATCACGAACAGCAGAGCAAGAGAAGAAGGCATGGCTAAGCGTCTCAATTTCAGTCAGGCACCAGGGGCATTTGTCATCATCTGTCATATGCCTATGCTTGAGGAGAGCTCGTACAGGAAGAGAGTTTGTACAGGCTAGCCATAGCAGGTGCCTTACTTTTGGAGTCGTCTCAAGCTTCCACAAATTAATCCAAGCTTGGTGAAAAAGTTCAAGATTGCAAGACTTACCCAACATGTATGCGGTTTTCACAGAGTATAGACCGGTGTTGGAGAAAGCCCAAGTGATGCAGTCCCTTGGGGATCTCAAACTGAGGGGGATAGAAAGGATACATTTGATGTCACTCGTTGAAAATTCTGGCAATAAGCTCATGATTCCAGTCCATGATTTCAAAGTCGATAAGATCACTCACAAAGGTTACCTCATCTGTTCGAGGAGACATAATTCTTGAACCATTTTCATCAGCTATCATTAAATGTGGGGAATTAAATACGTACGATAAGTGTTCGATAAAATTCCTAAGAGACATTTTCGAAGCTGGGTGTTAGAAATTGGCATTACTCGTGTTATTTCTGGACAATGTAAATGATTATTTGGACCTTGACTGAAAATTAAAGCATAATACTATAGCTGGGCTTGATGAAGAGAAGAATGTTACATTATCAGTTACTTTCCATTGTCTATGGCTCTTGTTATTGGTAAAAACGGATGCAAAGTGATAGGATTCAGTTGCTATGATAAATTTGCGAGGTCAATTGCAATGTAAAGGGTCGATTATGTTATGCATACTCGAAAACAACATTACTATTGTAGTACCGATTCTTCAGATGAGTGAAACTTGCAGACTCTGAAGCTCGCGGCTACAGTTCCTTAGTAGAGTTGCATGGCTAATTGTGGTGCTTGCTATGTCTTATCAAAGCAAGGGGAATTCCCCCCGGAAGATCTTCACAATGATCGAAAAGCTATGAGTACTTCGAAACTTTGGCCATTTCAGAAACCAAAGATTATTAGCTAAGATGATCAAGCAAGTGATTAATTACCAAGGCATATATGATGGATGCGAACTCAATAAATAAATAATTGAACTGCTTATACTATGTTTCGAGATGACGAGATAGATGCTTCACCGAGTAATCTAAAAGCAGCATTACTTTATCCTGAGATTGAAGTAGCTACAAGCGGACATCGGAACAACTGCTGATAGCATCGCACAATAATTCGGCGATACCGTATACTTCTCCAAGAAAGTCAGAGCTAATTTAATGCCCAGTCCAGAATGCGGAAGCTTAGATCATGTCAGAATCTACAACGAGTGAAAACTTTAGAATGAAAAAACTCAAGAAGAATAAGCAATTATAAAGTTGATCTTCAGCAAACTTCTGATGCGATTGTGTATTGGTAGCTGCGTGAGGTGCAAAATTTGATCTGATCAATCGCCTCACCTCACAATATAGCATCGAAGCCGCTCTATTTAAAGCTCCCAAGCTCTGTACTGATATTATGCTTTTAGGTGGAACCTCCACTTAGAGAGAATAACCATTTAAACAAGACGAAGCCTATGATTAATATCTGCATTAGAATTTGGTCGAAAGAGACTGAAACCACTGCTCATCATCAGCTCACATTGTGTTGCAGCCTAATCTTAGTACTACAGTCATCGATTGATATCAATAGAACTTGCGTGAGCTGCACTAGGGGCATTACCAACAGAAGAGAGCCTCTAGGGAAGCTGTCCAGCAGCTGTAAGCAGCCGAATAGTTAGAGAAGTATCCTTATCTTTATAAGAATCCATATTACAAAGAGTACAAAGAATCAAAATTCCTCGACCCGATAGCATAAGCCACAATATAGCTGATTGGTCCGGCACGCAACAAATTCGAGGATAAAAATTCAACTTAACTAAAGCTCATAAACGGTCTTGAGGTCTTTTTCTGGTTTCATTCTCTCTTAAGGGAGAATGGACAGAAGTACTACTTATCGTTTGAGTGTCATCATCAGCTTACTTTCGAAAGCATAACCTCATTCCGTGTGGAGCTGCAATTGTATAGCAGCAAATTAATGGTAACATTGTGCTCAAAGCTTGGAGTTGGAGGAGGACTATTAATTATAAAGTTGTATTCTCTTACCTCAAGCTACTCGTGAGTTTCTAGAGAATCCTCCTAAGCATAAGTTTAGATGATACAAGTTCTATAGCAAGTCATTCTGAACACAATGAGATCGCATTGCTAAGAGTCAAAAACTCTGAAGAGAATCTGCCAGAAGACTTTCAAGCGATCTAGTAATTCAAGCTACTTTATCGTCTGATCAGCATTGTGAAGATAGGAAAGCAAGATCAGTTTCAGACCATAAGGTTTGAAAAATGTTGCTAGACCTTCAAAAAGTACCTTACGGAGCTGCTTTATGGTGTGTATCAGCAAGCAAGCTAGCACACAGCAAGCACACTGCAGCTCAGGGGTAGACAGGTTCAAGGCAGTTACTCAAGCAATATTGACTTCTTCCAGTTACATTCTCACACAAAAACAAGTTTTATATCGTTTTTCGAGGGAGAATGGACGGAATGGCTACTTACTATCTGAGCACCATCAAGTTTACGCTTAGTGGTTGCAAATTTTGGCAAAGGAAGTGGATGAAGGTACCTTCAAAGCCACCTTACATGCTATAATCAGGGGGGTATCCAGCAGCTAAGGAGCGAAAGAGCTGTTGCAAGGTTTAGAATCAATCACAATTGGCATGGAAAAGTTCTCGTGCATACTAGAATCATAACAGGGCAAGACGGCCTGCTCGATTCCTAGAAGTGAATAAACTCTGCCGCCCTTCTACGATCAGCTGCAGTAGCAAAAGGTGATTAGTAAGGCCTGCAGACCCGGAAGCTTGCAGCTACAGCTTATTGGTAAAGTGGCTTGGCAGATTGTAATGCTAGTTGTGTTCTATTAAAATAAAGGAAATTTCCCCTACCAAAACAAACTCTGACAAGCTCTTTCTACAAGAATTTATACCTCTTGCAAGAAACATTTTCTACTGAATATAGAGTATATTTGTTTTGATAAAATGTCAAAGCGATACTTGACCCCCTAGGATGTCATGATCGTAAGTACAAAGGAAGTAAACGCTCCTGCTCTGCTACGATCGACAGAAGTAGTCTGCTCTAAGAGTTTTCCTGCCAGCCAGCATAACGTCTCAGTGCACAAAGTCCAGCTTTGCAGCAGTAAGCTTCCACCTGGTTTACACAAAATTTTAAGTAATTGTCGGTGGAGAGGATAAAAGCATAAAGGAATTTGCAATGTTCAGAAAAGTGATTAGGAGACAATAAGCCTGAAGCTAAGTTCATCTGCGCAACAGGTATCGCCCGTTTTAAGGGAGATCACCTATACCATGGCTAAGCATTGATCACAAGAGGATCAGAATGCAAGTGCTCCAGGGAATACTAGTTTAGCTGGAGTCTCTGCTAAGATATTTTTTGAAGAAAGTACAGCCGGACTAATCATCAATAGCAATGCAAACTGGAACGCAACCTGAACAAGCTTAGACTGAATCAGCAAATTTATGAGCAGCATATAGTTCAGAGAAAGGAACAAATAAAAAAATTAAAAAAATCTCAAGAAGAGCAGCAGCTCAATTGATCAGCAAATCCTCAACATAGCATACAAGACTTCGAGAAGAAGATACAAGAACAGGAAGCATCTTAGGCACCTCGAGAACGCTCAAAGAAATCATCAACAATGACAAGTAAGTCTGCAGTATATCAAGCTCTGATGAAATGAATAATACACACTTAAATCAAGGGGAAAGCAATCGGAGCCCAACAAAGAGGGGGAATAGTCAGAGTGTTCAGCAGAAAATTCAAAATCTCCTCGAAGCAACAAGATTTTTTCAGCAGTAAAATCAGAGTTTCTTGTGGAATAGACAGAAGTTTCAATCCGAAAATCAGAATTTTTTAGCATGGCAAGCAGATTTCTTCCAAATTTTCAGCGTGGTGGCAAGCTTCTTTCGAAGAAAATTTAGAATTTCTACAATGCATCAATATTCCTCACCAAGAAAATCAGAATATTCAGCGGGTTCAGTTAGAAGAATGAAGATTTTCCAGCAATATAATCATAATTTTCAGCAAGAAAATTAAGGTTTCAGTGAGAAAAATCAAGATTTTCCAGTAGGGAATTCAAAACTACCAGTTAGGAAATCAGAACTCTCAATAGAATATCAATATATTCAAAGGAGAGGTAAGAATTTTCAACCAGATGGTAAGCTTCCTCGAAAGAAAATTCAGGTTTTTTGCAGTGCAGCAAGATTTGTAAGCAAAAGAAATTAGAAATTTCATAGTAAGATTACTCAGAAGAAAAATCAACATTCTCACAAAATCTAAGCAGTAGCACTCAGTTTTTTCAACAGGAAAATAAGAATTTCAGCAAGGTAGAAAGCTTCTCCGAAGACAATTCAAGATTTTGGCAAAGCAGCAAGGTTTCTCAACAAGAGTAATCAGATTTTTCACCAAATCAGTTAGGGTTTCAGCAAGAAAATCGAGTTTTCCAGCAGAAATCAGAATTTTTTCAGCAAGCAGGATATTCCGATGCTTTAGCAAGAAAGTAAAATTCTCATCGAAGCAGTTAAGATATTTCAGTAGAAAAATCAAAATCTCACCATAGTAACTTGGTGTCTCAGAAAATCTTCAACAAGCCAATTAGACTTTTCAGCAAAAACTAAAGTTTTCAGCAAGGTAGCCTAAATTTTCCCAGTATGCCAAGAAATCTAACTCCAAGGAAGAACCGCTGCTGCAAATTTTCCCAGATAGCAAGAAGAGAGTAATGCAACTCCAAGCTGCTGCGAATAATCAATCTCCTTTAAGTCTTAGAACCGCTGTAGCATCTCTAAGACTTGGGGGCTAGATGTAGGGGGGCAACTCTACAGTGCTTCATCTTCTAGGGGTTTTGTTATGTGGAATGACTCTCTCCGAGTCATATGACTCATATCACTAACAAATTCGGTTCTTACAACAATCGATTCTGCTCCAAAACACTGCTTCTACTCCAAAAAAGAACAACTTAAGCTATACAAAACTGCTTCTTCCCTTAAAAGTTCCTTCAAAGAGGAGCTCATTGACTTCTCTATAAATTATTTACACTAATGCTCTTTTATGCCAAATATTTGTGCATAACAGATATAAAGGATTACTGGGTGACATAGTGCAGAAAAGAGCACCAAGTCAAGTGACAATTGATATGGAACCCTACACATCAAAGTGAGAAACATGATATCAATTCTTACTCATCAAAGTGGGGATCCAAAGAATTTCCAGCTCAATATGAGGCTAAAAATGAAGAAAGCATCCAAGACTTGGTCTTAATCAAGTCCAGCATGAGCATGTCAAAATTCAGCCAAAACATGGTCTTAACCAGGTCACACTAAAAGCAGCAGCCAAGACCTGGTCTTAACTAGGTCCAGCTGAGAGATTGAAGTCTACAACAAGCAGCAACAATTCCTCACTGTTCTTGCTTCTGTAAAGGGGACGATAAGAATATTCTAGAGCTGACAATAGTGTCGTGTCGTGTTGTGTCAATTCATACCCATGTTTTAAATAAACCCAATTTTTCGTGTCTGGGTCATGTCTTGTTTGTTTCGTCAGCTCTAGTTCAAAGTTCGCTCCCTAAACTAAGTGCAAGCAGGAGGATAGCTGTTCGGGCACACATCGCAGAGAATCAGTGAGGGGTGCCAAGGATCTCTTAGGTACTTCTCTTTGACACTCTTGTAGGCAAAAAGGATAGAGTTGAATGGCACTAAGGCATAGGGGTGTTCGCGGTGCGGTTTGGATCATAAACCGCACCAAACCGCAAAAGTGCGGTTTGTAATTTTTTCAAACTGCACCAAACCGCACCACAAAATGCGGTTTGGTGCGGTGCGGTTTAACCGTATTTTATTAAAATTGTAATTATTTTAAAAACAAAACTTTTATTTTATAATTATTAGTTTATAATTCAAATATTAAACTCTTTTAATTAATCTTTAATTAACTAATAGTTAAAGATTAGCTCATATAATTTTAGTTCTTTTATATAATTTTAATGAAAATATAGTACAAAATCGCAAACCGCATTAAAGTGCGATTTGCGGTGCGGTTTGGTCTCAATATTTTTTGAAACCGCACCAAACCGCAAACCGCATTTTGGTCATTTTTAAAAACCGCACCGTAAATTTCAAACCCGCAAACCGCACCAAACCGCAAAATTGCGGTTTGGATTGCGGTTTGGTGCGGTCTAAACCGCACTCTGTACAGCCCTACTAAGGCACTCTTAGTTCTGCTCCACTTGATTCCTCAGCATGTCAGCCAAAACAAGCTGAAGGAAGACCATTGCATAAGCCCTTACATAAATTAAGTAAGAAGCACAAGCAAAAGGTCACAACCAAAACAAGCTGAAAGAAGACCATTGCATAAGCCCTTACATAAAATTAAGCAAGGAGCATAAGCAATAAGTAACAGCCAAAACAAAATTCCTCAAAAAAATTTCAGCATTAAGCTTGTAATTTTTTAGCATGCAGTGGGGAGTGATCAAAATTCCTCGCTCAAGCTCAGCTCGTAAGTTTTCAGCATGCAGCGGGGAGTGATCAAATAAATATTCCTAGCCTAAGCTCAGCTAGAAAATTTTCAGCATTCAGCGAGGAGTGATAAAAATTCCTCGCCTAAGATCAGCTCGTAATCTTTCAGCATTCAGCGTGGAGTGATCAAAATTCCTCGCCTAAATTAAGCTCATAATTTTTTTAGCATTCAGCGGGGAGTGATCAAAATTCCTTGCCTAAGCTCAGCTCATAATTTTTTTTAGCATTCAGCGGGGAGTGATCTCGCCTAAGCTCATCTCGTAATTTTTCAGCATTCAACGGGGAATAATCAAAATTCCTCGCTCAAGCTCAAATCGTAATTTTTCAGCCTGCAATAGGGAGTAATAAAAATTTCTCGCTCAAGTTCAGCTCGTAAATTTTCAGCATTCAATAGGAAGTGATAAAAATTTCTTGCTCAAGTTCAACTCGTAATTTTTTAGCATTCAGCAAGAGTGATAAAAATTCCTCGCCTAAGTTCAGCTCGTAATTTTTCAGAGTGTAGCAAGGAGTGATCGAAATCCTTGCTCAAGCTCATAATTTCTCAAACTTTAGCGGGAGTAATCAAAATTCCTTGATCAAGCTCATAATTTCTCAAACTTCAACGGGAGTAATCGAAATTCCTTGCCCAAGCCCATAATTTCTCAAACTTCAGCGGGAGTAATCGAAATTTTTCGCTTAAGCTTGTAATTACTTAAAACTTCAGTGAGAGTAATCAAAGCTGCTTGATTCAGCCCGTAACTTCTCGGTTTTCATCAGGAGTAACAGAAATTCCTCACTTAAGCTCATAATTACAGTTCTTTGCGTAAACAACAACAACTTTATCATTTGGCAACACATCTCTCTAAGTCTTAGAACCGCAGAGGCATTCCTAAGACTTAGGGGGCTAGTTGTAGGGAGGACCTCAATCAGACGACCTATTGAGTAATTACCGATAAGGTTACAACCTCGAAGAGCTGCCATGAGTAAGCTCATACCACCACTTGGGGGGCTAGTTATACGGGATAGCTCGTGCTAAGCTATTCCTTCGCTTCCGGCCTCACTCAAGGGTTGAATGACGACCAAGAGAATTGGCATGAGTCACCTCATACCATCTCTAGGGGGATAGTTGTGACTATCTTTCGCTCTTAGCCCCTCTAGGGATGGCACACCTCGAGTACCATTTTGAGCCTGTTGAGTGGGCTCCAGGCTCCCGGCTGCCAGCTCGACCAAGGTGAGTTAGCTCCCGGCTCGACCAGGGTAAGTCGGCTCCAGGCTGCCAGCTCGACCATGGTAAGCCGGCTCCAGGCTCCCGACTGCCAGCCCGAGAGAGTAAGTCAGCCTTGGCTGACCACTGAAATGAGGGTTATCATACACTTTATATACCCCCACATATGCCACATAAAGGGGGTTGGTCGATCTCTCTCTCTCTCTCTCTCTCTCTCTCTCTCTCTAAGCATATTAAGCTTTATATTCTCTCAAAAGGCAAACACTTACTTAGCCATCGGAGGGGGGTTCCTCCAGTGGTGTTCTCTCTCTTGTAGGTCCTCCATTGGTGTTGACGGAGTTTTCGGCGGTTCAGCCTGAGATCCCTGCGGGCACCCCGAGACCCAACAGGCAGCTCGAGACTCTAGCAGCGCAGTCAGTGGTTCGGATATTCCCATTGGAGTACACCCGAAACAAGCTTCTTTTATGTAATTTCAATTCATAATCACTTATAACTATGTAATTATGAGATGGTTTGAGAAAGAATAAGTTCATAAGTTAAGAAATAAAGAAAATAGGCATATTAGAAGCTATTTTGGCTTGAAATGGCTTTATTTTGATGATATGACCCCATAAACTTATAAAATGACTTCTTTTATGTGATTTCAAGTCATAATCACTTAAAACTATGTAATTATGAAATGGTTTGAGAAATAATGAGTTTGAAAGTTAAGATTTGAAGAAA